TATTCCCTGAACCCGTACACAACATTTTGGGTACCAAAGATATATTTGAAAGAAAGTGAAAGTACTTTTACTTGAATAATAACAGAAATCTTCACTAAAAAAAACCATTGCAGTGAGCGTTTAACTTTAATTCGATAATAAGAGTATATTGCTGTTATATACATAGATAATCTATATCTGAAGCCTTGGAAAAACCCACAATTAAATGTTTCGTTACCAACAGCCAAAGAAATCGATAAACAAAAACTGTTGATTTGGTCGATGGTGACTATGGATACATTGAACTCTGACTATACTTCCGGTCTGATCAAACATTGAACTTTGACTCTACTTCCGGTCTGGTATCACTAGACGGAGCCGGATGAGATGTCGCGATCAGACGGGCAGAGTATCACATCGACACGGCTAATCTATGTGCTAATGGGCCATAAAGAGGACAGAGCTGGTCAGTCTATGTCACACTGAGCTTCTAAATAGCACTTTGACCGGACAGACTGCCAATGCAGCCAAGTACATAAGCGACAATCAAATAGCTAATTATTAATTGTGTAAGGGGTCTAGAAGCCCTGGATGGGTGAGCGTGAGATTTACTATCAAAATTACCTTATACGTCCTGCATTTATTTCTTATTTGTATAATTATTTCTTTCTATTTACTCGTAAAACGCCAGCCATTAATCCTAAGTAATGGAGGCATCCCGGGAATGTCGCTTTTTATTACATTCTAATGCCGAGATGTCTTCCACACGGGATTGCCATTTCCACATTGTAAACCCGAAATGCCCTTCCGTCTATGACAATTGCGTACACGAGACGTTCCCCAGTACCTAGCATTTGACATTCATGTAAAATCATACTGGGATTGACCGTGTTCTTGATTTGAAATATACTGGATGATTAAAAAACATGTAAATATGTCCTATTTAGCCCACTGCTTTGATATGACCCGCATGTATTGTGTGTGTATAGATATTTCTGGGATAATTAGCCGTGGTGGCCGCGTGTCTAGTAGGACCAGTTAATGTCTTCTCTGATGTTACGTTTTATACCAGCATGTTAATATCATTTCAGCTAATGGACCGATGAATGGAGCCCAATGTCAAAACAACAGTTACAAATAGGTTATCATAGTTCCTACAGTGTATATCAGAAAATGTGTATCATGTAAAAACAATCCGAAATCATCCGTTAACAATGTTTCATCTTAAATCATGACTTATCATGCAATTAAATAGCCTAATACAAAGTGTTATAAGCTAGTAACAATTGTATCCATGTAACAATGGGTTATAATCTCTTAGTAATCGGTTATTCAAAAACCAAAAATGAGTCATCCACAAACATAAATAATGGGTTATCAAAATTATAATACAATGATGGTATATCGTGAAAACATAAAGGGTAAACATGAACAATATTAGGTAATCATCAAGCACATTGGATTATCCTTAAATAATGAATAATCATCAAACAACAATGGATTATCATCAAACAACAATGGGTTATCATTAGACACACTGGGTAATCATCAAACACATTGGGTTATCATCAAACACATTGGGTTATCCTTAATAATGAATAATCATCAACACATTGGGTTATTCTTAATAATGAATAATCATCAAACACATTGGGTTATCCTTAATAATGAATTATCATCAAACAACAATGGGTTATCATCAAACAGCAATGGGTTATAATCAAAGTATCGATTAACATCAAACAACAATGGATTATCAGCAAACAACAATGGGTTATAATCAAACAATCGATTATCATCAAACAACAATGGATTTTTATCAAACAACAATGGGTTATCATCAAACACACTGGGTAATCATCAAACACATTGGGTTATCCTTAATAATAAATAATCATCAAACAACAATGGGTTATCATCAAACAGCAATGGGTTATAATCAAACAATCGATTATCATCAAACAGCAATGGATTATCAGCAAACAACAATGGATTATCATCAAACAACAATGGGTTATCGTCAAACAACAATTGGTTATAATCAAACAATCGATTATCATCAAACAACAATGGATTATCATCAAACAACAATGGATTATCATAAAACAACAATGGGTTATCATCAAACACACTGGGTAATCATCAAACACATTGGGTTATCCTTAATAATAAATTATCATCAAACAACAATGGGTTATCATCAAACACACTGGGTAATCATCAAACACATTGGGTTATCCTTAATAATAAATTATCATCAAACAACAATGGGTTATCATCAAACAGCAGTGGGTTATAATCAAACAATCGATTATCATCAAACAACAATGGATTATCGTCAAACAACAATGGATTATCATAAAACAACAATGGGTTATAATCAAACAATCGATTATCATCAAACAACAATGGATTATCAGCAAACAACAATGGATTATCAGCATACAACAATGGTTTATCATCAAACAATGGGTTATCATCAAACAACAATGGTCTATCATCAATCAACAATGGCCGATCATCAAACAATGAGTTATCATCAAACAATGAGTTATCATCAAACAACATGAAAATATCAGGAAACAACAAGGGGTTATCTTCAAACAACAATGAGTTATCATCAAACAACCATGGGTTATCATCAAACATCAATGGATTATCAAACAACAATGAGCTATCATCAAACAACAATGGGTTATCATCAAACAAAAAGGGTTAACATCAAACAACAATGGGTTATTATCCGACCATAATGGGTAATTATAAAATATCGATGGGTTATCATCAAACAATGTTTAATAACAGTGCAAAATTAATGGATTTTCGTCAAACTTATATTTTGTATTGTAATGATTTAAGAAAAACTACACTTTGCTCTTGTATGATAACCTATAGAATTGTTCAATAATAACCTGTATCACGCTACTCAATTGTTGAGCATCAACCAATAAACAAAATTAAGAATAAATCATTAAACAACTATTTTTCCAGCAATAAAACAGGTTCTCAACCAACGAAAACATACATCAATAGCATACAACAAAACATAAACCAACGAAAACTGGTACATCCATAGCATACAACATAACATAAACCAACGATACCAGGTACATCAATAACATACAACATAACATAAACCAACGACACCAGGTACATCAATAGTATACAACATTACATAAACCAACGATAACAGGTACATCAATTACATACAACATAACATAAACCAACGATAACAGGTACATCCAAAACATACAACATAACGTAAACCACGATAACATGTCGTCAATAATACACAGCATAACATAAACCAACGATAACATGTACATCAATAACATACAACAAAACATAAATCAACGATAACAGGTACATAAATAACATACAACATAACATAAACCAACGATACCAGGTACATCAATAACATACAACATTATATAAACCAACGATAACAGGAACACCAATAGCATACAACAAAACATAAACCAACGATAACAGGTTCATCAATAACATACAACATAACATAAACCAACGATACCAGGTACATCAATAACATACAACATTATATAAACCAACGATAACAGGAACACCAATAGCATACAACAAAACATAAACCAACGATAACAGGTTCATCAATAACATACAACATAACATAAACCAACGATAACAGGAACACCAATAGCATAAAACAAAAAATAAACCAACGATAACAGGTACATCAATAATACACAGCATAACATAAACCAACGATAACATGTACATCAATAACATACAACATAACATAAACCAACGATAACCTTTACATCTATAGCAAAACAAAACATAACATAAACCAATTATAACAGGTACATCAACATCATGCAACATAATATTAATCAACGATGATAGGTTCATCAATAACATACAACACAAAATAAACCAACGAAAGCAACAATGGTTTAGAACAAAAGCACCGGAATTTCAAAGCAATGGGTTATCATAATAAGTAAATGAATTGGAAAAAAAATCGAAAACAATAATTAATCATCAAAAAGCAATGGATTTGTATCCGCAAGCAATGCGTTATCCTTCAAATCAGCGGTTTATCATTAAAAAACAACAAGGAGTTCTTACGAGAAGTCTAGTTATCCCCCAAAACAATATACACTCGAAGAAGGATAACTCTACTTCAGTATTAGTATCCCCCTGTAATACGTCCCTGTAGGTAGGGCGTAAGAATGATCGTAAGAGGCGACTAAATTTGGGATCTTATCTTTTCTCTTCTTTCTAAACAACTTTCTTCTTCCTAATGTCTCCCTTAACAATGTCTCACGTTTGGCCTTTAGTTGAGCGTTCGCCCCTGTGAGGAAGGATTGGGGTTCTGTCCCCTGGCCGAGACATGCCAGAGTCTGTATAACGCTCAGCAATTTAGGAGTGGGACGACTGGTTTGCCCGTTGTCAGTATTATGTGACCGGGTGGGGTGTCCTGCTGGGAGTCTTCGGCAGTAAGTTTCAGTGAGGTAGCACTATAATGTCGGCATCAGTTCCGCGCTATCACAAGGAGACAAACACGAACATATCGCAGCCTCCCAAAACACACACGCATACACTACACGCATGCATCTTGTACACAGGGGTGGCCTTCCTTAAATGACCATAGCTGTTGATAGGACGTTAAACAATACTAAACCAAACTAAACCAAACCCCAGTAATAGAACATGCTGTGATAATTTTCGATTATATCTTCTGGGCCTAAATAATATTAAGCGACCGTATTTCGCTTCTGATGTATCTAACAAACTCATTACTGTAGACACGGTGGTCCACGGCTGTGGGTTACTCTTCTTTCAATGGTCACGGCGGGGAATTTGTCCTTTACGTTATAGATAAAATATTTTTAACATTATACAACTAAAACAGATTTCAACACATATACTTTACATTGCAAATGCATGTTTCAAGTAGAGATATTTTCCCACTAACTGCTCTGCTACACCATCTATACAAAAAAAGTATATAAGTAATAAAAAATGTTTATAATTTTATTTTTGAAAAGTTTTCAGCATTACAAAATATCTTACAATAGTAAATTTCACACTCACATGTTCATTCTTGCAACTTGATATCTTGCGTCGGTCACATTGACTTTATATGCATTTCCAATTTCCCATACATAATTGTTTAAATGTCTAATTTGTTTTTTCAATTAAATGCAATGATTTTCATATAAGTATTAAAATAGTTAAAACAGGGATAGTTCCACTACTTAAAATACGTGTATACATTGTATACCAACGTACCAATGTATAGTCAGTCACAGATAGGGAATCTTAACATGGTTATGGGAAATTAGATATTTGGCTTGTTTGTAGATTCTAGACTAAAGTTTTTAGCCAAGTTTCATGAAAATTCACAGAAATATTTGTGACCTCAATCTTTCGAAACCATTTGAAGAATAAGGTCGTCATATTTTAAGTTCAGTGTCAAATCTATAGCATTGTAGATTGCTTTTTTTTAGATTGTTTATGCATTACCAACTAAAGTTTTCAACCAAATTTCATGAAACTTCAAAGTAATTACTGATATCTATCTCTCGGGACCGTTTGATGGCCAAGGTCATGTGTCTAAGGTTAGCAAAGGTCACAGCATCAGAATCTTTGTCATCGCCTGCACTGCTTGTTTTCCATTACTATCACACTATCACTTTGTGACTCCACAATCATGTCAGCGGGTGTTATGTGCCGTTTGTAGAGTTAGGACCACACTCGGCTTATCTGGTTCTGCTGTACTTACCTGTACGACAATTATCAGTGATAATTGTATGGGGCCAAAACACAATGTTACATGACATGCTAGTTTTTGCTACTTATCACCATTTATCCGGATCACTATCAGGGGTGTAACGAGCCCTTGGTCGGAGTGGATTCATTAAGGAGCGGGGTCCATACAGGGCTTTGGTAGGGGACAATTAATGGCCACGCGCCTGTATCTGGTACACATACACACATACATACATCGCTGTCGATTTCACCTGTAGTGCAAAGGTCAAAGGACATGACAGGTCAGCGCAGAAGGAATGACGATATGTATATATAAAGGTTGCTTCGGGCTAAATACACTGTAAGGCCCTTTACATATATGTATCAGTGCAGAACAATATAGCCGACGGCGATATGTGCACAAGCCTGTGGATGCAATATAGCTGTAACTCCTCCTGTCTTGTCGATTGTTTTAACATCGCCTCTTCACTATACATTGATTGGAATGGAATTCAGAACACATATGAGTACTGACTGGTAGCCTGATCACACGAGTGTACGTACCAACGATTGATAGATACGATTTATCGAAAATGTCAGATGCAGTCTGATCGATCGTCTGCTATCTCCAGCCAAGCGATTCACCTGCCGCGAGCGTGATAGCGCCAACCCACTATTATCGTTATCACACCCAGTCGAGGCCGGTCTGGTGTAGACGACACTAAATTGTGTACTATCGGCCCACTAGACCGTGTTCACCATAGTAACGTGTGTTAGACTGTTCCACTTTTTAATCAGCTTGTGAACATATGTGGGGCTAAATATAGAAATCGATACAACACGCTGCACTGGCCTGGCAGACATTTTGTTTGTGATCGCGATAAATCGCACATGAACAACAGAGCTATGCACTAGGCATTAGTGAGGCAGATACAAGTTTACTATGGACGCCAACACAACAACGATTGACACGGAAAGGTTCGAATATATGCAGGAGTATACACAGATATACGATTTTCCCGGGAAATCTAAAAGCACAGTATGGAAAGACTTCGGGTTTTATAAATCACCCGATACTGGGTGTTTAGACAAAACCAGTGCTGTGTGTAAGATTTGCTGCGCTCTCGTGAAATACTGTGGCAATACAACAAACCTTCACACACATCTCGCCAAACATCGACCTAAGCAGTATAGCAACGCCAGGGCTATCAAATACGATGAAGTGGTAATGTCTATCGACGAAGCAAGTTTTAATCGTGAAGGGAGTGCTGGGTCTTCTCGAAGTCCACCGAGCTCGGAGACCGTGACGGCGACTATCACGTGCGGATCCCCTCCGGCGACAACGTTCCCCACAGTACAAACCATTTTGATGAACAGCAACCACGTCCAGTCACTCAACAATTCACTGGCACAGTACTTAATAGCAAATCTACTTCCGCCCAGCGTGGTGGACAACACCGCCTTCCGGAACTTGATGAGAGTAGCGGACCAGGGCTATAACATGCCTCCTAGTCAATATTTCTCGGAATCGCTTATTCCGCAGTGCTACAACGAAACAAAACAAAATATTCAGGGACTTCTTTCAAATACTGAGAATGTAACGATCTCTACTGATGTTTGGACATCGAACCACACAGAAACCGAATTCGTGACGCTTGTGGTTCACATGATTGACTGTAACTGGGAACCCCACTCCTTCACATTGTTTACACTGGAAATGGATGATGACTCTGACCGGATGTCAACAACTTTACAAAGTAAGCTGCAGCACTGGAGAGTTCCAGCGGCGCCAGTTATGGTGTCCAACAGTGATGCCAGGATAAAATCAGCAACCGACATTCTTGGCGTTCGGAATATCTCCTGTCTTGGCAATGCCATAAGTATGGCAGCAAATGACGTTTTAACGTCGTCGGGAGTACCAAATACCATTGAACATTGTCGAAGCTTTGTTAAAGCATTAAATCGAAATGGACGAGACAAAACAAGATTCAGAAAAATGCAACCGGAAACAGATGACATTGAACTCGACAGTACCGGAAAATGGACAACCACTTTTGACATGTTGCTGAAAATATGCAAGAAAAACGAAACAATACAGTCGATCAAACAGAGTGACGCGTTCACCACGGACACAAAATCACATGTCCCCAATTCGGAGCAGATCGATAAAGTGAAAACGATCAAAAACGTTTTAAGACCGCTAAGAACGGCTGCCAAACTTCTTTCCGACCAAGGACCGTCGACCGCGTCCATGATACTTCCGGTCCTACGCAAGCTTGAGTTGACTTTAGCTGTCAAGGATGAAGATCAAGATTATAGCACTCAATTGAAAAGGAGAGTACTAGATGTTCTCACGAGCTTATATCAAGATTCTAACGTTCGAGAATGCCTGTTGGTTAGTTCTATCCTTGATCCTAGATACAAGGATTTGAATTTCGTTGATTCAGCCGAACGAAAACAAGGCAGAGCTGAGCTTGCTGACGAAGCCACAGTGTTGTTCAGGAAAAGCAAGGGTGAACACCACGTTGATCTAACAGTGTGTCACATTAAACAGGAACCAGGGTCAGAAAACAGCTGTGTTGCTGCTTCAAATGGTTCCAGCGTTTCCATAGCGGCAAAGGATACTTCGTCTGCAAAACGTCCGCGCATCGAACAGGATGTTGGTGACGATGACGACTGGCTTGCAGATGTCGTTAGTGTCAAAACCGAGCCAAAAAAGAGTAAAACGACACTCGAGGAAACAGTACTGGCCGAAATCGACCGGTATGTGTCAACAGAACAGACGACAACCCTGCCATTGCAATGGTGGAAGAATCGCGAGGCAATGTACCCGATACTGTCCCGACTGGTGAAGAAATATATGTGTATAACGGCCACCAACGAACAGTATGACATGACAGTTAGTTCGGACCTTCAACAGAAAGCATGGTTCAATATGCGCGCCATGTTGCCACGCGACTCTGTGGACAAGATGGTATTCCTAAACAAAAACTTCTTTAAGTTCTAGAACAATTATCTGGAGCGGACGCGGTTTTCAACCACACTGGGAAGTTGTATCTTTACTGTGCGGCTTTTGAATTATTTGTCTTTTGGTAAATGTAAACACGATTTGTCAAAGTGTGAAAGGAAAAATAGCCACTCACTCCAGTAGATATAGAGTGAAAGAGGAAAAACACGAGAGCCTCGTTTTGATGGTTACATGTCCTCGGAATGTACTGTAAGTTAGCAGTTGCAGTCGGATTGATTAAAACAAATTATTAACTTTCTGTCAAAACCGAAGTGTTCAATAATCATAATAAATATGCAATGTTCTGTCACTTAAATAACCGTTTTAAGTCCAGCTGTGTTTGATATGGTGACCCGTATAATTTATCATTGTTATCATTTATACCATTTTGCCAGTTTCTTACATGGTATATCGTTCTCGAGAAAATGATAAAGTAACTCGATTTTTTTTATTTTCATTTTTTCGAACTGAACCACATACGCAGCGACAAGATCCTATTTTATCGTCTTAAACCTAGATGTTATGTCAAATATTATCATAATTTGCTCAGTATTATGTAATTGATTTTATTTTACTTATGATGTAATTTCTCCTATCTGTCTTACTATACTCTAAATTATCTTACTGACTCTGATCTATGCCAAAAGAACTTGATATAATACTTGTTGTTTTATGCCTTACTAGCATGATTTCTCAACTACATGAACAGAACTAAGGCTCTAAACAATTAAATATATTATGTTGATGGTGTCGTTCTCTAACACAATTAAAACTAGGTATGTTATGAAGCGACATAGTCTCGTTCAACCAGACGCTTGATCACATTTAATTATCTGTTTGGCTTGGATGCGAAGACAACAAGAGTTTGGTTGAACGAGACTAGAAGCGACATGGCTATTTCTACCGTTATTCATGTTGCTCTTAGCTCTGCTTATATTCAGTGACAATGTGCTATATATTTACTCCTGTATAGTTTTTAATACTTACATGTATAGGTTTTGGGGTACACATATTGGTTGTATAAGTCAGGCACTTTTATGTCTTACCTTTATGCATTATATCAAACTTGGTTTTCATTTTTAAACCGTGTGTTCTTGCATTACTTTGGTTTAATTCAATGCATCATGTGTTCGCAAAAGTCAGACATTTTGTTTGTTTCACGTTATATATTTGTTAGTATGTTTGAGAAGGAGCTGTTATCTTACTCTGTCCATTTTTGGCCAGGGAGTATGATCGAATTAGATTGTCATGTTGTGGGACAACTACAATTTTACTTAGAGCGAATTGACTACTGCTGTTAACGATTTTTGTTATCTAAAATAAAAAGTTCAAGACGTGGATATCGTTGTGTTGTAAATCATTATACTTTAAATTCCGGGACCACGTCTGTTTATCGCGTTCAAAAATGGTTGGACCAGTACAGAGGTAATTGCCTGTGAAAAATATGGACAGACCTGGTGATCTGATGTAGGTTGTTGTCAAACACTTCCAATGCTTGCAGTAACAGTTAAAGGTTTGTGAGGGTTTATCTCTAAAGATAACATATAATAATAGATGAACTGGTTTGTCCGTAAAACAGGTCTCTTCCTGTTTCTCTATAAAACGGTTACATTGCATCGTAAACCAATACATTGAATCGAAATCTAATAAACTGTTTCATAATCCAATACATTGTATCAAAATCATATGTACAACATATGTAGGTTAGTGACGAGTCTGGTAATACTATAGATATAGGTTAGTGCCGAGTCTGGCAATACTGTAGATATATGTTAGTGTCGAGTCTAGTAATACTATAGATGTAGGTTAGTGCCGAGTCTGGTAATACTATAGAAATAGGTTAGTGTCGAGTCTGGTAATACTATAGATAAAGGTTAGTGTCGAGTCTGGTAATGCTATAGATATATATATTAGTGTCGAGTCTGGTAATACTATAGATAAAGGTTAGTGTCGAGTCTGTTAATGCTATAGATATAGATAAGTGTCGAGTCTGGTAATACTGTAGATAAAGGTTAGTGTCGAGTCTGGTAATACTGTAGATATAGGTAAGTGCCGAGTCTGGTAATACTATCGATATAGGTTATTGCCGGGTCTGGTAATACTATAGATATAGGTAAGCGTCGAGTCTGGTAATACTATAGATATAGGTTAGTGCTGAGTCTGGTAATACTGTAGATATATGTTAGTGCCGAGTCTAGTAATACTATAGATATAGGTTAGTGCCGAGTCTGGTAATACTATAGAAATAGGTAAGTGTCAAGTCTGGTAATACTGTAGATAAAGATAAGTGTCGAGTCTGGTAATACTGTAGATATAGGCATGTGTCGAGCCTAGTAATGCTATAGATATAGATAAGTGTCGAGTCTGGTAATACTATAGATATAGGTTAGTGCCAGGTCTGGTAATACTGTAGATAAAAGTTAGTGTTGAGTCTGATAACACTGTAGATATAGGTTATTGCCGAGTCTGGTAATACTGTAGATATAGGTTAGTGCCAGGTCTGGTAATACTATAGATAAAGGTTAGTGCCGAGTCTGGTAATACTGTAGATATAGGTTAGTGCCAGGTCTGGTAATACTGTAGATAAAAGATAGTGTTGAGTCTGATAACACTGTAGATATAGGTTATTGCCGAGTCTGGTAATACTGTAGATATAGGTTAGTGTCGAGTCTGGTAATACTATATATATAGGTTAGTGTCGAGTCTGGTAATACTGTAGATATGGGTTAGTGCCGAGTCTGGTAATACTATAGATATAGGTTAGTGTCGATCCTGGTAATACTATAGATAAAGGTTTTTGCCGGGTCTGGTAATACTATAGATGTAGGTAAGTGTCGAGTCTGGTAATACTGTAGATAAAGATAAGTGTCGAGTCTGGTAATACTGTAGATATAGTTATGTGTCGAGCCTAGTAATGCTATATATATAGATTAGTGTCGAGTCTGGTAATACTATAGATATAGGTTAGTGCCAGGTCTGGTAATACTGTAGATAAAGGTTAGTGTTGAGTCTGATAACACTGTAGATATAGGTTAGTGCCGAGTCTGGTAATACTGTAGATATAGGTTAGTGCCAGGTCTGGTAATACTTTAGATAAAGGTTAGTGCCGAGTCTTGTTGTGCTGTAATAACCAAATCAAAGTGCTGAAATATGGTTCATATTCACTCTTTGTCAAAATAAAACACAGATTTGTAAATCATCAAATGGCAAATAAGATATTTAGGGAAACGTTGGAAATGGGTTTCAATTTGGGTACACTGACGTTATTCTCGGACCTTTAAATAAATCTTATTTCGTGGTATAATCATTTGCAATTAATATATAACACATCATTAGATTCACTTTTGACACGTGTTGTAACCCATCATTGCCTGATCTACAAAATTTAATATTATTATTGTCATCTAATGACCCACAGCTTTTGCAGGAAATAAGCCTCTTTATTAAAAAGTCATTTCAACTGAGGAAGGCAGGCTTGCAGAATGCATAAGTATGTAGTTTTTGCTGTCCATTATACAGTATCAATGATTGTTTGATGTTTGCAGCTCGATCCTTGTAAATTGGATGTAAAATGCACTAAAGTTGATTGATTGATTGTATTAAAAGGGTAAAAATAAAACCCAAATCCCAATATGATTATATTATGTATTGATTATTGTATTGTACGAGTTATCTCCCATTACCAGCGGCTATTTCCTTCGTTCAGTAGGACCGTTTCAGATACAAAAATTGTGGATATTTACTGAAATTAAACATACAAAAATAACTATTCTTTATCAAAGATATAATCTATTAAGTCAGGAAAATTTAAACAATATCATTATAAATCCGGAAATTGCCGGAATATACCGAAGGTATGAATGGAAAACAATATGGCGGGATGTTTTAGCAAAGCAAAGAGTGGAAAATGATTGTGCAAACCCAGACGACATTAGTTTACTAGAAATGTCGTGACAGTGATTTTACCAACAGTGCAAACGTGCCAAACCATTACCAAGATGTGTGATATCTGTTCAGAATTGCTCTTTATGCTGGAAAGCTGTAAGTATTCTCCACGACTTGAAAGATTTCAGACGAATCCGTGGTCCTTTTTACTTTCATGAAAATGCATCCCATCGATAAATCTATCTTACAAAACAAATCACCATGCATTTTTTACATGCTTTCAACGAACCTATGAATAAAGATGTGCATAAATATTTTGCAGCGTGCCTGATAGTCTGGTACACTCATTTTGATATTTTTTAAAAACAATATGTTTTACCGGTACTGAATAAAAGTAAAAGATACAGTTACAATCCTTTTGTTTATTAACTATAGAAAATTGTACGTTTGCATATACTGCCCGATAGTGATATGTAAATTATAAGCTACTGTATCAAATAAGTATCGAAACACAATTCAAGTCGGTATTGAAACACAATTTTTAAAAATATTTTGAAATTTGCATCAATCAAATACATAGATCACATTCTGTGATAGTTTTGTAAGAAGGACGAGGAAAAGCGATAAAGATAGTGCCGTCGCTGGGGCTCGGACCCGCAGTCCTTGGCTCTCCAGCCGGATGCTTGAGCTAAAGGGAAATTCCCTACAGCTGATGCTTGTAAGGCAACCTAATCTCTGCACCCCTTCTTTTACACTATTCCCCCCTTTTTCAATCACCAACCCAGGTTCTTTGACTCCCCACTAAGGGTTCTTCTACCTTGAATGGGGAGGGTCAACGCCACGGACCAGTTTTTAGTAGGACAAGGAATAGTGATTAAGATAGTGCTGTCGCTGGGGCTCAAACCTGAGACCATTGGCTCTCCAGCCTGATGCTCAACAGCTGAGCTAAAGGGAAATTCACTACAACCAATGCTTGTAAGGCAACCAAATCAATGCACATCTGTTACAGTTAAAGAGTTTTCAACAGGCCATTTTATACAAATTTGACATGCCATCCAAGTTAAAAGGCAATGATGAAGTGTTGTAAATTACAAGTGATCTTGGAACAGTGATAAATCTACATGCGAGTCCCGAGTCCTATATACTCACAGAATGTTTATGGGACTCACAGAATTTCTGGAAATACTTCAATTTAATATTGTGGGACTCATTGTTTTTAGCAATACAGTTGAAAATTACTCGTAAAAATGAATTGTAGATTAATCACTGTTGGAACAATTAGAACATCTTTGGTGTATACAAGCATAAGGTATCAAGAATATAACAAGGCATTAATGATTTAATATAAGTTATACAATGTAACAAAGCATACATTGTGCGCTTTGGAAGGCACAGGATCGATTTAATACCCGGCCGAGGTAGAGGAGGCCAGGTATTAATATTACTACCACACAGGTACAGGTGTGGTATGCAAATTCCACTTGTGCTAATTCACCTTTCACTTCGATATCCCATCATGTTTGGCTGGTTTGCAGATGGTTATTGTGCCCTAATAATATTATTTATAGGGTCAGTTTCAACAGGATTGGAACATGCCCTCATTTACGAACCACATGAGTTAGCTATAGGAATATTGTGATGTCAAAACTAATCTCTTCTGATTTGTCTTTTCAAGTTTCAAAACTCAAAGTAGCTTCTAAGCTAGTGATATGTATCTATTCAAGGCCAAAACAATTTTTGTTGTGTTTCTGCCTTCATACGATACCGCATAAAATAGGGAAGGTACTGTAGGTTTCGGAAAATACTTATTTCAGTTTTTACTCAGGTAGATAAAAATATAAGGAAATCCAACTTTTACTGGCCCTAACATGAAAAAGCCAATAAAACTTAAGCTTGCATGGTTGGTACAAAGTTTTTGGGGTACAGTCGTTTCGGTACACGGTAGGTTCGGTACTTCAAAAATAAGAGGTTTCGGTACTTTTTGTAAGTAGTTTAGGTACTTTTTGTAAGTTGTTTCGGTACTTCAACAATTTTTTCGGAACTTCGTTTTTTAGTTAATAAATATTTCTCATTTGTCATTCGTTTATTAGTTAATAAATATTATTTATTGATGGTTGTTTATTTAACGTTTGCTTTTTTAACTGAGCAGCTGAGTAGATCGGAGTAGATCGGAGTAGCTCTTTAGGAGAGAAACTCAAGACAACGTTGAGGGAATTCACCAACTTGTCATAAAAATGACGGTTCCGCTATCAAATTTATCAAAAAACTCATCATGTCTTCGGATGATACGTGTATTCAGTGTGATGGCGTTGTTCTGATCTGATACAAACAAGTGTATTATAGCACAAGTTTGACTTTGAGTTACTTCCCTTGAAGGTATACAGCACGCAAAAAGTGGTGACGTTGACTAAAACTTGGTACCAAAGTGTGTTTTCCATAAGTACCTAATCGATTTTCAGAAGTACCGAAACAACTTTCAAAAGTACCGAAACGACTTTCAGAAATACCGAAACGACTTTCAGAAGTACCGAAACGACCGGGTACCTAAACGACCTAAATTCAAAGTTTTTGACCCTAACTTTCAAGGTCCTAGGTTTGAATCTCAGTTTGGCTATTTTCATTTATGTCTCCTGTCCCGTTAGTATTGTGTATGTATACACAGGGATAATGAACTGGTAATCTCTCTTAAGAGGAAAAGATACAAACATTTGCTTCTTTTTGCTTACAGATTGTGCAATTTGTCTAAAGTTATTTCAATGTCAAATTGCAGTGTTAACATTTTATTTCCATTGTTTGGCTTTGACTTTCTGTTATTGTAGACGAAGAAAGATGTCAGGTTGGTGGCTTCCAGATGAGCAAGAAGGACATTATGTCCTTTGTGAATTTTGTTTGTGTTTGGCCACAAAGGTTTGTAGAGTTTATATATATATTTATATTTTACTTTAATATTGCAGAACAATGAAAAGATATCAGAAAGTTTTTTTTTTATTTCACAAAAGTAGACCGTTTTCTCCAGTTTATAGTGAGATATTGATGGTTTTCAAATAAAGACAATGTGGGAAGTGAAATCTGATTTAAAAAAACATGTTAAACTTATAATGTCAACAAGATTTATACATAATGGGATATATACACTTCTGTCTCTGGTTTCAGTAACCTGTGTTTCTTTATAGATCTAGATCTACATTGTATTCACTCGTTCTTTAGACAATACACTAGTGTTAGAGAAAGTATAAAGTGATGTGGATTATAAAGAATTTGTGTAGCTGATGACCAAGTGCTGATTTTCAGTGAACATTACAAAATGAAATATTTTCCTCGCTTTTATTCCATTGTAGACAATGTATGTGTTGCTTCAAAAATTCGAAAAATTTCGAAAAACTGAACAACATGGTGCAGTTGATATTGAGTGTAGCTATCCGAGTGATTCAGACATTACCTGAAGATTTCCAGCAAGAACAGCAGCGACAGAAAGACAAAGAAGCTGCTCAGACTGAGGAGAAAAGTTTAGACTCAAAAGAGAAAGAGGAGAAAGATTCAGAGAAGAAAGAAGGAAAACAGGAGAAAGAAGAGAAAAGTATGGATACTGATGAAGATGATGAATCAGAAGATCCAGAGAAATGGAGCATGGAGGAAAAAGAGAAATTACTTCATTCTGTAACGAAAATCTTTCTGATGAACTTCCCATCCTACATAGCTTACAAACATGTTGTTCATCCATCTCGTGAGGCAAGTTCCTTTTGTTATAAGATTGTATTCTACAGTCTTCAGGTATGGTAAGAGTGGGTGACTTTGTGGTAAGAGTGGGCGACTTTGTGGTAGATTGGAACACCTTTACTGACATCAAAAACAATCTCATATAAAAAAAAATCTTTGTATCAGTTCATATACTGTAATAATTGCACAGGTTAGACTAAAAACTAATTTTCAAGTTTTTTCTTTAAAAAAAAAATTAAATGATGAATGGTGCAATGAAAAGAGGCTTTTTTGTCAATATTATTGGGCATGCTTTTAGTTTCTGTTGCTTATCCTTTTCAGGACCATTCACAGCAAGAAATTAGTGCTTTGAATAGTTACTGTGAAATATCAGTAAGTAAATTACATTACATGTTATTGCTGTTTTTTGTAGCATGCTTCAATATGATACTTAGTACCCTGACTCTGTCACTATATACATATATATTTTCAGAATTTTGGGCTTAGATATGAATCGTTTGGAATAGATTCGTAAATGGTTAAATCTAGGCAATGCGATTTAGTTTCATTCAAAGCTGGATTTATTTTGATGTTTGAAATATGATCGCTTTTGCATGTGTATTGCTCTTGAAAAAAATCCTAATTTTTGTTGAATTAATTCTGTTTGAATTTTATTCTAGACCAAGGGCCACTGTTTTTATCAGTGCCATATTTATTTTGGTCTATAGAAAAGAGGAAAACACTTACAGACAAATAAGAACAAGTCTATGTAGTTAGTGTTAGATTTTTGTAACAAATATCAGTTGTATATCAATACTTGCAATGGATTTAATCCTACCTGTATATACATCACTACAATTTTTGTGTCGCCTGCGAAGCAAAATGAGGGACCATTCTGTCAATGTTGTCATTTGAACTCAGGTTTCCACACGATAATTATGGAAAGAATGCTTTGCTTTCCATGAAACTTCCTACAAATAGTTAAATTGTATCAATTTTCTTTTCAAGTTAGAGTTTGAATCTGATCTGATATTTGATATAGATGTGGCCATCTTGGAATTTTTCATTGGAAGTGTCTGCACAAGTTTTCATGCTATAGTTCTTGAAAGAATGCTATGATTTTCATGCAGATTTATACAAATAATTGATTAATAGTATTACTTATCATTTCGGCTTTGAGCAGGATCTGAACATTTATATAACATCATATTTGTACATATCTAAAGAGATTTGTGCTATGGTCTAATTTGCTGAAAGTTTCCAAATGATATCTTTTGATAGAACAGTTAGATTTAGATGAAACTTGCCTGATATACATTCTACTTAAATTTTTAATGTTTATTTAGCCAAATTCTAGAATATCAAATGAGGCTCCTGCATTCTGACTAGCCAATGGATTCTGGTTGATAACTTTTGAAGGAGTTATTGGATTTTAATGAAACTTCCATACATTTAGTACATTTTCTATCCAAATTGCAAAATGTCTGGTTAAATTCACAAATATTCAATGAGGCTTCTGTGATTGATAAATAATAAAGCAAATATATTGCATTTCATTTGAATTTTCTTCATCCTTTGTTAATTGCAATAATTCCTCCCAAGCTGGTCCAGGCGACACATTTACTCTGGTAAAATTCTTGCTATGTGTTAAAGTGTATTTTCTCTCCCCATATTACCATTCTATCACCTATACTGATCTATATATAATTATATATGTGTGACAAAGTGTCTAGTTTTAGTCAAAGGAAATGGGAGATTACATATATATGTGATGGTAGAGGGATTTTTTCTTACTGAGATATTTGGGGCCAAAACTTGGCCCCATTCTCAATTATGTTTAGATATTTTGATATCAAGCAAAAAAACCACAAATCTTAATTTACTTAAAAATTGTTATATTTTCATTTAAAATTTCCCTTACAGATCTGTTGTAACACATTTTTTTTTTTTTAAAGGATAGAGGAGAAGGGGAATACTTGGATTTTGATGCTTCTATACTATATGCCATAGTGTTTTCCCAATCTGATGAAATTCAGAGGAGAAACCCTGTGATATATTGTTTATGTATGATAATCATAATAGACTGTGATCGCTTTATATCAATCATTGTGGTTCTTTGTTTTTGATTGTTTCAGTCATTTAATGTTTAATTTAAAAAAAAAACATCTCTTTTTAGAAAAGGGGGAGAGGAGATAGAAGCTTAGATGATAAAAAGTACTGTCTTTACTTTGCTATGTTCCGCACAAGAAAATAGATTATGATATTGTTAAACTTGGGGAATGAAATCTTGGTTAGCTGAAGTGCGATTCAGTGACATAAAGAGATTAAATTTCTCTAAAGCCTTGTTATCTCAAAATCAATGCATTTTCTAGGATAAAAAAACCCGTTTATAATCCCTAATTGTTAAGATTGTGACTTGGTAAAATTTATGTGAAAATTCATAAACAAATCGGTAGAACAGATAAAGCAAATTATTTTTATTGTAAACATATGGTATTTGTATTTTACTGTGTTGTTGATATGCTTGTAGTTGGATTTACTTAAATGCCAGTAGGCAAACATTTCAAAGATCATACTTCTTAGACATGCTAGATGGCTTCAATCATATTCCAAAAAGAAGTGCATCTGAATAGTTTGTTAGAATTTTGACATGCTTGTTCTAAAATTTATGTTTTGTTCTTTTGGTATTTATAGACTATTTAAAAGTTTGAGATAACAAGTTTAAGCTATTTACGAATACATTGTACTTGTATTTTTTTCTGGGTATACTTCTCTCAGAAAAGTCTGAAAAGATGATAGATAACAGCAATGACTGGCATAAATCCAGGGGGAAAATGTTCTGAATTATTGCTGTCTAACACTCGGTTGACTTGGCAGTTATGTGTGCCATGTATACAAAATTAAAAATTAATATTGCTTAATTTGACGGAGGAATTAAAACTGAAAACATGAAAACTACATGACTTTAATAAATATCTATTTATATTTAAAATGCATATAAAGATCATTAATAGTTGCATTTTTTTTTTCAAAAAATGAAATGTGTCAAATTGGGTTATCATGTTATGTCCCTGGAGCAATTTTTCTGCAAGAACATTAAATTCAATGAAAAAATTATATAGATTTAGGGCATTAACACTAAAATATTTCTGTTATTTATATATTCATAATTGGTTTTTATTTTATTTTATCATTCAGTGTATTTAACATCTATTACAACTACATATAACACCAGAAATCTACCCAACAATCAATAGTGTTATATATATTTAGTTTGTAGTTCAAGCATGGAGGAAATATTTGTATTACTAACCCAAACTTAAATATCAGCAGTGTTATTAGTACTGATGTTTAAGTTTTTATTCATCAAAATGATTTTGTCTTTATTTATTTCATAATATATTATAGCATTTTTAGCTCACTGGTCCAAAGGACCGAAGAGAGCTTACACCATACAATTTCTTCAGACAACTTCTTCTCAAAAAATGATGGAATTTAACAAAAATTTGACTAGAATAATCGCTATGTGGTGGGTATTCAAAATTGTGCAAGTGGTGGGACTGACCCACAGTGCACAGAATTCGAAGGGCATGGCCAAAAAGGGGTTAATTTGGCAATGTTACTTTAAACGACCTTATCTGAATTGCTGATTTGAATTTAACCAAATTTCACTGAAACTCGAAAGAATACTTACCCGTATGTGATAAAGATAAATAAAAAATTGTACAAATAGTGGGGCTGACCTCCCAAGGGTCTGAGGGATGAGTATTAAATGAGGTGAATACATGAATATTGACCATGTTGGTTGGCAATATCCTCAAGTTGTACCAACAGAAAAGCTGACCCATCGAGGCTGAAGGGTTGGGCCAAACAAGATTTAGATAAATTGGAAATGGTTGAGATCCCCATCGCTATAATGGTAACCATATATATGAGGACCCACCCTTGAAAACGAAGTCCCTGGGTCATAATATAACTTTGAGATGATTGAGATCATCCCCCCAAAGAGATGAACAAAATCAAGAATTGGCCCATCCCTAGGGACTAGGTTCCTGGGTCACAACTTGGAAACAGATGGGTTCCCCACATATAACCATATATACAATTGCTGAGTATAAAGAGATTACTACACATACCTATGCTTAGTGTTACCAGGATGGGCCCTTGGTTTTGTCTAAGCCTTGGAGACTTAGTCCCTGGGTCATTACTTTGATCCCCAACACATAACCACCATATATGCAATAGCTATGCTACCAGAAATGGCATTAGGGTCTGCTCCAACCCTGGTTACTTAGTATCTGTGTCATGGCTTTGAAATGGTTGAGATTTTGATCGTGAGCCCTTCTTCAGATATACAATTGCTGGGCATCAAGAGATGTACAGTCATACTACAAGATTTGGCCTTGGAGTGGTCTGTCCTCTTTCTTAGGGACTTACTTCTTAGGTCATATCATAAAAAAACTTTTGTGATCCCCACTATATAACAATATATACTATTGCTGGTCATGAAGATTTGAATATATACAATAACATGCTACCAGGATAAGCACTGGGGACTGGCCCTATCCCTAGATCTGATTGTAATACTGATTTTAAATGAGAATAGTTTGACATGATAGCTTAGATATCCAGACGGCTCTTGTTCTTTAAAAGAAAATATTGATGTGATAAAGTTTTGATTTTGAAATTGTTATGTTGGTATGGACTTGATAAATAATCTAGACCGATCATACTAAGATATCCCAAGTAGCTGATGCTTTTAGATCTGTAAGGTATAGGTTGGTTTATTTGAGGTTTTATGGAAGGATATATGTTTTTCATTGCAGGATCCTGAGGTTCCGCTGTTCCTGCTTCAGAATGTGTGCTATTTCTGTGATAGTAATGGCATTGGTGCTCTGCGTCAGTGTTTTGAAAAAGGAACTCCGGACACACTGCCTTTTACATTTGCTCATATACTCATCACCCTTATCGCAAATGTAAGTTCAGTAGGCCCTGGTGGTTACACACTGGAACATAATGCCAAAAAATATGTAATATTCTATAAAGAAAAACAAGATAACAATTACAAGTTAATGTGTGTAATTCACTAGTAGATAAAGGACATTTAAATAATTTTTATTTCCAACCATAGTTTTAAGATATTATTGTAGTAGATTACAAACAAACAAATCAGTTTGATGTTACTTTCATTTTACGTTTTTCAATGTTTTTCATTGCAGTTACGCTTATGGATGAATATTCCGACTGTGATGCAATACATAATACCCCTGAGGACGGCTGTAATAAGGTAATCATTTCCCCCCTGCCTGTGGTGTATCATACAAATATTCCACATGTGACGGCTGTCGTATAGAAGTGTGGAACAAGATAATATAGTTTGAGCTCATTTTCTTTGTTTCTCGGCTGATGTTCTGAAACATGTCATCTCAATGACTCATGGTTTCTTTAAATTGACATTATGGTCAGCAGACAGTCATGAACAGACATCACCTCATGGAAATAAACAATTATTAACAAAGCTTGCTGTGAAGATGCTACAGAGTGCTTTAATTTTTGAGTGTATGTTCCACTGTACATGTTATACTATAATTTCTTCTGCTCTTCATATGACCTTATTTGATATTGAGGAAGTGAATTCTTAAACAAGTTATTTAAATATGTTCTTGGTTATTTTATGTTATCTAGAAAATATTCCACCCTTTATTGATGTATTCACACTGTCAGCATCTTATTTTTTTTACCAAGATTCTAGGTAGATAAGAGGTGGAAATAATATGGTCAATCATTATGTAGGTAAAACATGTATGGGAATTTGACTCGCTGGTGAAGAATTTCCATATCTAACACCAGAACCAGTATCTGATAGATTTCCTTAGTCATGGGAGTGGTTATGCATTTGGTATTATGTTTTCCCAAAAGCATCCGGGGGGGGGGGGACAAAGTACCTCTGCCATAAAATATATCTACATATTTGGTGAAAAACTCGAGAGTACTATGGTATACATGTTATGATTTATAGTTTGATTCATGTTGTTGAAATTTCATGCAAATAATAACATTTATGTGTATGCTTTATGTCAAATTTTATGACTGCTATGGCCTCTGATTGGCTGACACAAAGTTATAACTCAAGTTCTAGTGGGTTGGTTAAGTTCATGATTTGTGGGGGTTCATTTGGTCAGATTTGATCACCAAAATTGTAACATATCATTTCGAAATGAAAAGGTAATTCAGGAAACATCTGTCACACTCCTAGTAAGAATTTGTTCTGGTACAAATCTGGATGGAAATGTAGTGTAGAATGGAATATTCTAGAATGAAAATACTGTATATTTGTAGATATATGTGTAAGCTATCTGACAAGGACTTGCGGATGGCAGGAAATCGTAATATGACAGACCTGATGTGGGCGGCAGTCAAGGAGCCCCTGGAGGCCCACTTCACCTTTGACAAGGAGGGACTTGACCTGGCCTTTAAGTACTTCACCTGCTCCACCCTTACCATTAGGCTGGCTGGGATAGCCCAGATAAATGTAAGTCGGTCCCACCTCTGCTGGTCAGTTCACTGTTGTCTGTCCCGGTCAGTTCAGTTTTGACCGAATGTCCAAACTGTACACAACCTTAAACATTTGAATATTATGGAGTGTCCAAGTCTCTCGAATCGAAATCCAGGTCACCACTTTAAAATACATATTTCTGCTTGTTTAGGACATTCTGCAACCAGTGTAGATTATTATTTATCTTTAAATGCTTCTTAAACTATATCATGGGTCGATTAGTACTTGGAATTATTTTTGAACTTGTTTTTTTCGTAAATTCAAACTCATCATTAATTGAACGTCCTGATGGCTGGCTCCCGTCACCTTCCAAACACTACTTTTAAAAAAAAAAATGCATTTCTGGAGGGAAATATCAGCATTTTATATAGCTCTGATGTATTATCGTGTTTAAGTGCATCCGCTGATTGTTGAAATGTTTTCAAGTAGATAAAAACTAACATGTTCGGAGAACTCCCCTTCTACTTGCTCCAACAGCCGCCATCTTTGAAATAGTCCCAACATTTTTCAATGCACAGGCTACACTACAGTAAATAGAGCAACTTTAAAATTTTGAAAACTTTTCAAAATTCATTCTTGTATGTTGAATGTAGGTTTTCTTTGTCAGAAACATTCTCTCTTTATATCTTGTAAATGATACATGACTGATGTACATTACACATTCTTAGTGTTTGTATAAATACTTGCTTTTAATATGCTACTGTTTCTTTTCTTTTAGAATCAAATTAACTTGTACAATGAGAGTTGTAATAATGAGACACTACTTGATGCTGACAGGTAAGTATTGTACTTATTATATATAATCAACACAATAATATTAAAGCTTTCTCCAAACTGTTTAGTATATATTAAGATAATCTGTTTGAATGAATATCTGGAAAGGACTTTGATATTACATGCTTAGTGTGTGTCATAATGGAAATCCCTTGTTCACACAAAATAGTCGAAAACTGATATGAACTTAAACATGAAATGTATCATATATTTTGAGTGTCTGTAAAAGTACAATGCTACATGTTTGATTTGATATATGAAGAGTCCAGTTTTAGTACACAGGAAATTTTGATAATGTCCTGTCTCGGTAGATGATAAAATATTCCTCTCTTTTCTTTTACAGAGTTGGCCATCATTTGTCTCAGTGGTTGTTAGATAACAAGATTATAGAACATATATTTGGACCAAATCTACATGTAGAGGTAAGACTCAATATCATTCTGTTCATCCTGTATGTGAAAGTATAACCTAGAAATAAAAGAAAGTACTATTAGGCCAAATAATTTGACTTTGTATGAGCTGTCCTGTTTTTGAAACTGGTTTTGATAACAATTTGTCATTCTGCTACTTGATACCGCTATATATGAACAGATTGACATTATGATTTTCTATTTTACCTGAAAGTGTAGTATAATCTATCAATCTATTTCAGAGGTTTTATTCATTGAAATTTGCCCTGAGAATTTTATCTTAGATTTCTGTTCAAAAGTTTAAAAATGATGATGCTTATATCATTCCAATGTAAAAATGCTTTGGCTAAATGATTTGTGATCTTTTTAATAGTATTTGACAAAAAAATGATCTTTTGTTGTTACGAGTACAGTAATGCGGATGCACACAGTGCATTTTCAGAATTAAAAGCCCCACAGCCATGATTCTAAAATAGAGAGAAAAAATTATGAATGTATTTATGAATACAAATTTTCACTGATGATGTTGCATTTATAATTATGATTTGTGATAATTATATATATAAATGCATGGTTCTGTAAATCTTTTTTCAGCTCATAAAACAGAGCCAGTTGATCTTGAATTTATTAGCAATGGAAGGCAAGATCACCAGTGAGCACATTGACTGTGTTTGGGCTTCTAGTCAGGTAGGTTATCTAGACTTATGTGTTATGATGTATGCTTGTTACGATACTCACCATTACAATCAGCTCCTCAGGAGAGATGTTTTCAGGCAGGATGTGAAGGGTAGAAACACCTGTGCTGAGAGCTCAGCCTTGTAGATCAATGACAGTGACGCAGTTTTTACAGTGTCAGAAATTATAAGTTAGAGCCACTGTAAATATGAAAACAAATCAAAATGTTTGTATTTGTGAATATCATATTTCTACAATTGAATAAAAATAAAACTTGAGTGAATGTAAGAATAGCATTTTATATAATCTTGTGTGCTTTGATCTCTGAAATGCAAGATCCATTATTATAAGCTGATTATCAGTTGAAGCACTAGTAAACAACTGTTTGTTGTGATGATGTTGCATTGATTTGATTTGGTTGTTTCATTTGAAGCATTTGGTTTTATTGTTTCAGTTGAAGCATTGTAGTAAACAAGTGTATGACATCCTGATCCCACTGATCAAGAATCTTGATGTCCATCCGGTGCAGCATCTACTCAGACTTGTGTCCGCACTGGAACCCACCTCACACACAGAATCTGTAAGACCACTTTCCTTTACTGATTAGGATAGTTTCCTGGGTCTAGTGACTGAAGATAGTATTTTGGCAACTTTGTTAAGTTAATATTTGAGCAACTTGGTTAGGTTATAGAGTGTAAAAATCCACTAGTCAAAAGCCGAACTCCGGTAAATTTTATAACAGTTTGTGGAAATTTACAGTGTTTACTATGAAAATATAGCCCAGACAAGTAGATCTATTCTAAATCTGCCTGTGGGATTAATCATATAATTTGTTTACAGACGTTGTACCTTGCCTCTGCCCTGATCAAGTGTATTTGGAACACGTGTGTAGCGTCCCAGACCTCTGTGTCACAGCACCACGCCCACGCACAGGCCCAGTACACTGCTCTACAGCAGGATGAGGACATGCACGAAGGTAGGAAGCACTTAACTTGTAATGTTTTAGAAACCTCTTCAATTTTATACCTTAACTTGATGTCAAAAATATTGGATAACCTCTTTATTTGTAGGTAAGGATCAGCAGTTGTTTTGTTGTATGTTGAAATTGTATACCAAATACATAATGCAAAATTGCACATGCAATTAGATTGATTTAAATAGTAAAGCACGCAAGGAAAGGTAGAGTTTGTCTATTTTGTTACCAATAACAAACTTTTATTAAATTTGGAAATTGGGGTATTTATTTTGAGGGACATAATGCTTTAATAAATAGAATTGACCGTTACAGTTTATGTGTTGTCAGGTGAAGGGAAAGCTGGCAAGCACGAGATGAGTAGTAGTGAGAGTATCCAGATGTCTGAGGATGGAGAGAGTGAAAAGTGCTGTAACAAGGTAAGACATACATGTAAATAATACACAGACGAGTATGTCTACCAGCTAACTCCTGATGTTGATACAATACTGAACATTGATTTAGTTGATTTTGATCAGAAAAAGAGATGAAATAACTATAACTGATGTATATATTTTTCTGCATTCTGTACAATTTCAGCCTAAATTACAATCCCAGAAAAGAGGAAGTCCCGCTAAAAAGACGCCAAGGAGTAAAGACCAAATCCAGAAGGTCAAAGACAGTCAGCATGAAAAACACATGGACGATGTGGACTCTGAGGGTCTACATGGTCACAGTGGTGACAGCGAACTTGATCACAGTGGTGAGTCAGATGACCACAGGCATGTTCATCGTCATCCAATTCGCCATCCCCGGCGTGATAGTGAGGCGAGTGACAGTGAGATTGATGGCAGCGAGTCTAGTGAGGATGAGGAACTAGAGGAAGGAGAGGTGGCTGATAGCAGGCACCGCCAACAATTGCTCCAGGCCCACCGCCGGGCCGTAGCCAAGTACCACTGCAACCACCACCACGCACACCACCATGACACGTCAGAGGAAGAAGAGGAAGAGGAGGAGGAAGATGACTCAGAATACCTAGAGGACTCTGAAGATGAGGAACTTCTAAAGGAAGCCAAACTGGTTCACATGAAGCATACTTGTCAGGACAGTGAGGGAAGTTCCGATTTTGAGGATGAGGCTCGGATGGTCCATGAGGGGAAAATGTCATACCAAATGGCCCAGAGGATTCTCAGGAAACACCACCAACAGCAGCAGAGAATACTACACCAGGCACACCAGCTGGCCCTCCAGAGTCAACAGAAGGTCAGGAGGCGAGGTGAACGACCCAAGGATCAAGGGCAGAGGAAGGTGAAGTCAGGTGAAGATCAACCAGAGGCCAGTGAGGAAGATAAGGGGGAGGACAAAGATGCTAGTCAGGAGCTTGTCAAACAGGAGGACCTTGCTAACACCTCCCTGGTAAGTGGTCATTTATAGTTGCATAAAAGAAACTGGGAAATGCCTCAATTAATGCAACTGATATTTAATTTTAAATAACTTTAAGGATTTAGGAAGTCTGTGAATATTTGAGATTGCCATTAATGATGATTTAAATCATGCTATCATAAGTGAAGCCTACCTCAACTTTAAAAAGAAGAGAGAAAATGAAAATGATACCAGCTATTGATCTATGGTGGAAATGAAAAGTCCAATGCAAGAAATGAGATCGATTGTATCTATTTGACAGGAGTCCATTGAGTCCGATGTGGCCATGCACGGTGGGAGTCAGGACAGTGGACTGGAGCAGGCTGAGGGAGGCCACTCCCCTGGAGGTCTCACCCCAGGACAAGAGACTGAGATATTTGACTGTTCCTCATTCATACAGCAAGTGGGAGTACAGCGCCAGAGGCAGAGACACATACAGGGGTAACTGTTGTGCTATCACTTTATCTCTCAAAATAGATATGTTGACTTGGAGATTAAGAAGGATAGGGAATAGAAAGGTTTAGTTTCTTGAGAAAAGTTAGTTTTGCTGAGGCAAAGATAAGCTCCAATTTCCTGATCTGAGAAAAATCACGAAAATTATCCTAATGTGTTTGGAACAACCAGTATTCGGGTGAACAATTTCAAATTCTGGACCTTTGCCTGAAGAGTAATCTCTCCATCTTTGTGGTTTGTTGATGTGTGCTGATCTGACATCAATGAAACTATTAACTGACAAACACAAATATGTTCTGGCTTATATAAAGCTGTGAACTGGGACATATTGTACTATGTACCAGCTCATACTGAATCCTGTAGGTTTCTAGCGGGATGAATATATTTAATAACTGCTTCAGTAGAGACTAAGATGATGAAAACAATTTCCAAAGAACCAATTTCTTGTCAATGTCCTGTGATGATACCATCCTTGCGCACACAGTATTACTGTCTGGTGGTCTGACCTCCAGTCCGTAATGTGACGATTATTAGGGACACTCGGCCATAGTCAAGTGGACTAGGGTTGGGTCACTGAGGACACAGTATAATCATTTCACATTTTGATAAATTTGATAGTTATTTTACAAGTGATTGAGATTGAAGTTTATTCACTGGTCATATAACTTCTTTTTTTTAAACCCAACTAGATTTGGTATTATTAGGGCTTCATTTGCAAATATGAATATATAGAAGACAAATTTTAGTAATATATGTGTGTTAGAGTCTAAAATAATATCAATGAGAAGAGGAGAACAAATACTGTTAGTGATGGGGATCACAAAATGTGCCCCACTGCTTCCTTCAATATTAAAATCTGAAATATAAACCAGTAGATAATTAACTCTGTATAATATGTGATGTAATGCAGCACAACAATGCACACCTGACATTTAAAGACTCGCCAATCCTTACCGGCTAACAAATTTTGTATATCAATGTGATAACCATCTTACATGTAAGAATGTTGACTTACAGCCGAGAGTACATCGAGAACATCATGAGTCCTGACGATGGTGAGGGCAGCTGTCATAGTTCACACATCAGCACCAAATCAGAGAAGAACATGGCTGACTTTGAGGGCGAGGACTTCATCAGTGACGAAGAACTGGCTCAGATCGATGCCAGCCGCTCCTTCAATCCTCACCAGATGCAGCAACACCTGTCCAGTCTGGCCTCCATGTACCACACACACATGCCACACGGTCAGTGGCAACAACTGTCTCTGGAAATGAATTTTTAGATGATTTATTTTTACTTTATGCAGTGTGTTAAAATAAACACAAAAATTATAGTGAAATTTCAAACTTTGAAAGTGTTCTGTACATAAGTCAAATGATTTGTTCTCGTTGGTTTTGACAAAAATAATAAGTGGTCTCTCTTTTGGAGATTAATATTTGAGACTTAGATAATAAAGTTGGTTATAGTTTGTTGTGTGTTACAGTGATCCACCACCGCCCCCAGCAAAAAGAGATGTTCCCTTGCCACCCTTCCGACTTCCCATTTGATGATGTGTGTGGTAAAGGAAACACATTGCTGTGGGATCTGGTCCAGGAGGAAACAGCAGTGAGTTCAATTTCTAAGTAGTAAATCCATTTAATACTCATTAAATTGAGAAATGTCATTGATACAGATATCATTATACTGTGAAACCATTTTTAAAGAAGCTCATAGGTTTTTTTAAGTTTGAAAATCCAGTAGGACACATAAGCATTAAGTTTGCATCTAAAAAAAGTTAGGGCATATAGGTAGGCCTTTTGGTCTATGATGAGTTTATCATGCATTGTTATTTACAACAGAGTTAAAAGTGCTTGATTGATTTGAATTTTCAGCATATGTTACCGGAGGGTCTAGCCATGGAGGCAGAGAAAGCACTGTGTACCCTGGTATGCTATTCTACAGACAGGAAAATCAAGATGAAGTTTATTGAAGCCTCCATAGAAAATCTCTCCCAAAACAAATCTGTTGTGGTATCTCTTCGGCTCCTGCAAAAAATATTCAGTTCCTTTCAACCATACAGGAGTGGTGCAGATACACACCATGTCACCATGTAAGTCTAATAAAGATGTCATTGTTATCTAACACGACTGAAATAATTGAACTTAAAGGCATTGTGGTGATTTTAATAACACTAGCAAACAGTTTTTAGCTCACCTGGCCCGAAGGGCCAAGTGAGCTTATGCGATGGTGCAGCGTCTGTCGTCCATCCGTCCGCCGTCCGGTGTCAATATTTTACTTTAAACAACTTCTTCTTAATAACCAAAAGGCCTAGGGTGATGATATTTGGCCAGAAGCAAACCAGGATGAAGGGCTACCAAGTTTGTTCAAATAAATTACCTTCACCTATTTTCAAGGTCACAAGGGTCAAATATGTTAAAAACTTTAAACAACTTCTTCTGAATAACCAAAATGCCCAGAGTGATGATTTTTGGCTAGTAGCATGCTGGGATAAAGGGCTACCAAGTTTGTTCAAATGAATGACCTTCGTCCATTTTCAAGGTCACAGGGGTCAATTGTCTTAAAAAATCTTTATACGACTTGTTCTGAATTACTAAGAGGCCTAGGATGATGATATTTGGCCAGTAGCATGCTGAGATGAAGGTGTACCAAGTTTGTTCAAATGAGTGACCTTGACTTATATTCAAGGTCACAGGGGTCAAATATGTTAAAAACCCTTAAACAACTTCTTCTGCATAACTAAGAGGCCTAGGGTTAAGGTATTTGACCAGTAGCATGCTGGGATGAAGGGCTACCTAGTTTGTTCAAATGAATGATCTTGACTTATATTCAAGGTCACAGGGGTCAAATATGTTAAAAACCTTTGAACAACTTCTTCTGAATAACTAAGAGGCATAGGGTTACAATATTTGGCCAGTAGCATGCTGTGATTAAACGCTACCAAGTTTGTTCAAATGAATGACCTTCGTCCATTTTCAAGGTCACAGGGGTCAATTGTCTTAACAAATCTTTAAACAACTTCTTCTGAATAATTTAGAAGCCTAGGATAATGATATTTGGCCAGTAACATGCCAGGATGAAGGGCTATCAAGTTTGTTCAAATGAATGACCTTTACATATATTCAAGGTCACAGGGGTCAAATATGTTTAAAACCTTTAAACGACTTCTTCTCAATAACCAAAAGGCCTAGGATGATGCTATTTGGCCAGCAGCATGCTGGGACAAAGGGCAACCAAGTTTATTCAAATGAATGATCTTAAATTATATTCAACGTCACTGGGGTCAAATATGTTTAAAACTTTTATACAACTTCTTCTGAATAACCAAGAGGCCTAGGATAATGATATTTGGCCAGTAGCATGCTGGGATAAAGGGCTATCAAGTTTGTTCAAATGAATGACCTTTACATATATTCAAGGTCACAGGGGTCAAATATGTTTAAAACCTTTAAACGACTTCTTCTAAATTAGCCAAAGGCCAAGGGTGATGATATTTGGTCATTAACAGGCTGGGATGAAGGGCTACCAATTTTGTCAAAATGAATGACCTTTGCCCATATTCAAGGTCACAGTGGTCAATATATGTTTAAATCTTTAAATGACTTGTTCTGTATAACCAANTTTAAACGACTTCTTCTAAATTAGCCAAAGGCCAAGGGTGATGATATTTGGTCATTAACAGGCTGGGATGAAGGGCTACCAATTTTGTCAAAATGAATGACCTTCGCCCATACTCAAGGTCACAGTGGTTAATATATGTTTAAATCTTTAAATGACTTGGTCTGTATAACCAATAGGTCCAGGGTTATGATATTTTGCCAAAAGCATGCTGGGTTGGAAGACTTTAAACTCTGTTCAACCTAATGTCCTTGTTCGACATTCAAGGTCACAGGCGTCATATGTTAAAATCTTTTAATAGGTTCTTATGAATCAAACACTGATATTCTGCCTGTAGCTGTATTTTATTCCACTTTTAAGATTACAAGTGTCAGATTAATACCCGGTGAGCGATTCAGGCCCATTGGGCCTCTTGTTTCTTCAAATTTTTGTGGTCGGTAATTGAGAAAAACTTTTTTAAAAAAATCTTCTACATGAACAAATAATTTAATAAATCTGTTTAATTTGATAATAAATTAATTTGTGAAAAAAATACATGTTTTAATCTAATGACTTTAAATGCAGGTGGGCTGAAAAGGAGCTGCATATGATGAGTCACTTCTTCATCAACCTAGTGTACTACACAGAGGCGATACAGGCAGGCAACACCGCCATCACAGCAATGTAAGTTGGCTTAGAACCTCTTAAATCTGCTGAATAGTGTCATTCTTCTATAATTGCGGATTATCTCAATTATCACTCATGATGAGATCCAGTGAGTTAATCGGCAATCTCCAAGTCTGGTTGTCTCAGCCTGTTGATGACTTATTGGTTATTTTATAATAAAGTTTTACTCTGATTGTCAAACAAACCTCTTGTCATGTTGATACATCACAGTAACATCGTCATGTATATCTAATATAAGCTGCATCATTAATATCATTTGACATATCGTTTTTTGTGTTTAATATTTATTAACTCCACCTATCATGTATTAAGGAAATACTATTCTTTTTTCCCTCTTTTTACCTAGGTACTGCCACAAAGAACAGGTGCAAGTGAGACTTGATTTCTTGACGTGTGTATTTTCGGCTATGGGATCTCCAGATGGATTTAGTAAGTTTCTTGAAAAGAAGTTTATAAGGTAACCTTTGTCTTTAAAAAAGATAGTTTTAAAACAAAGATTGCTGTTTATTCTTTTATCCACTGTATAGCATGAAATTTTCGTATTTAACATAGCTGCAGTTGAATTATGCATTTGTATATCAATATGTGTACAACATAGCTGATTCAATTCAGACAGCTAAACAAGAAAGCTTGTATCATCAAATTGTTTTGTAAACATGGAAACATATATAAAACATGAAAGCATGTATTCCCAAATGTTTCTAGGGTATAAATGTGATAAATCTGTAAACACCATTTTTGTCTGTCCTGTGATGAAACCATCCTTGCGCACACAGTATTATGGTCTGGTGGTCTGACCTCCAGTCTGTAATGTGACGATTATTAGGGACGCTCGGCCATTGTCAAGTGGACCATGGTTGGGTCACTGAGGACAATACCTGTAGAAATGAAGAGAACATAAAATGTATCTTCAAATTATCTTATATTCATCACACGATTCAAACTTCTGATGAAACACATGACATACTATACATATGTCTGATACTTTTGTGAGCAAATTAATTTGCATGTTTTACGTCCTTTATTTCCTGTAAATAAGAATTGTATGCTTCAAATAATTTGTCACCAAGATATGAAATATGTGATCAGAATGTTCTAGTCATAAGATGGAACATGTGACAAATATTTCACTGTTCACTGTAATCTATGAGAAAGATCTTTGAGAAATTTGTACCTTTCTTTTAACTGTGATTTCCTGTCCATGTCCTGTGATGAAACCATCCTTGCGCACACAGTATTATGGTCTGGTGGTCTGACCTTCTGACCTCCAGTCCGTAATGTGACGATTATTAGGGTCGCTCGGCCTGGGTCAAGTGGACCAGAATCGGGTCACTGAGGACAATACCTGTAGAAATGAAAAGAACATAAAATTTATCTTCAAATTATCTTATATTCATCACACGATTCAAACTTCTGATGAAACACATGACATACTATACATATGTCTGATACTTTTGTGAGCAAATTAATTTGCATGTTTTACATCCTTTATTTCCTGTAAATAAGAATTGTATGCTTCAAATAGTTTGTCACCAAGATATGAAATATGTGATCAGAATGTTCTAGTCATAAGATGGAACATGTGACAAATATTTCACTGTTCACTGTAATCTATGAGAAATTTGTACCTTTCTTTTAAATGTGATTTCTTGTCCATGTCCTGTGATGAAACCATCCTTGCGCACACAGTATTACTGTCTGGTGGTTTGACCTTCAGTCCGTAATGTGACGATTATTAGGGACGCTCTGTCATGGTCAAGTGGACTAGGACTGGGTCACTGAGGACAATTTTTGGATAATTTCATGTTGATTATCAACCAAAGAATAATTAACAGCACAATGCCGTTGGAATATAAATCCCAGAAGAATGCTAAATATACCATTAAAAATTATGCTGTCTTTATTTCTGAGGGTGTGTTTGAGAATAGTGTAGGGAAAATATCACTATTTTATCTCTGGATGTAAAACAAAATTGTCACTAAGCAATATCAAAACATGAATTAATCTTTCAGGAAATAATAGCTGAGATTGAACTAATTTTTCATTGTGTAGGGTTGAACTTGGAGCAAGTAGACACGCTGTGGCGCTGTATAGCTTTGGACATAGAGTGCTCTGATGAGTGTCTCAAGTGGTTCCTCAACCAGGCAAAGAGTAAAGACCACCACGCTATGGGCCTGGAAACATTTAAACACATCTTCTTGGAAAAGGTAGGAATTGTTCATGCTTAACACATCTTCTTGGAAAAGGCAGTGATTGATTTAAAGTTTATTTGACATATAAAAACTAAGAAAGGAAACAGAAGGAATTTCAAGCAATATAGCAATGTATTAATCTTTAATGGATGAACTTGTTCATGTTGTTTTCATTGGGTATTGTTAAGTATGGTATATGCAAGGTTCACTGTATTGGTAAAATAAAGAGTTATCTTTCTTTATCAGTCTTTATTGAAACAAAGCTAATGAATAGGGATATTAATAGTATATTAACGCTAGCTACATATATCCATGGTACTTAACCCTAACTGTGAGTATACAATTTCTACAGATGCCTCAACTGAAGCCGGAATCCATGAGTATGATTGGGCTCAACCTGTTCCAACAGTTATCACACCTGACTAGGATTGCCAATGCATCCCTCGATAAATCCCTTACAGAAGATCAGGTAAAAGTTCATTAAATACTAATAAAGATTAAAAGTTGTTCTGATTTTGAATTTCACTATTTAATGACGTAATATATTCACATTTAGATGGATCTTTTTTTTAGTTTTTAGGTCATTAATTTTCTGGTATTAGAAATAAATCGTAATACATATTGAACCCGTTCTGCTTGAAAGTTAAAAAATACTCCAAACAGTAGGTTGACTCCAAACAGGTGATGCTATGTGTATGGAAGTTTGTTTTATCACTCAATACAACGTTTCCTCCTGTGTTTGTCGCAGGTCTGTGGTATGGACCAGCTGTGGAATATGGCCCTTAAGGCCACCAACACGGATGTCAGTATTACAGCCATACAGATCCTCAACAGTTACTACATCAACTACGGCAACAGTCAGCTGGAGAAAGAGGAGGAGTTTGTACAGCGCTGTATGGACAGCCTTGTCCAGGCTCTGTCAGATCTCAACCAGGTAATGCCTGTTCACTAATATTTTGAAGGCCATTGCATAAGAATTCTTGAGGATTTTCAAATTTATTCTGCTATAAGTTTAGCTGAACGCTTCTTAAAAGAAGATGGATTATTTATTTAAAGCAAAACTTTTTAATTCAATCTAAACATGCCGAAACGACATGCTTATGTAATGCTACATATTTCAATATTTTTTGTAAATAAATTTCCTCACCCTCAAATATTTCAATTTGATATTCCTTCTTAGAATCCAGATACCAATTTACTAGTCATTCAAAGAGGTTTGGTGCTATTGAAAAACCACCTGGAAGCGTTCAGGAAACGGTATGCCTACCATTTACGTAACTGGCAGATAGATGGGAAGGGAATCCGCAGTCATCAGCGTTCCATCCACGACAAACAATCATCTATGATGAGAGTTATTCTACAGCCTGCAGGCATGACTGACAAGGTTTGTTTACAACATATTTAAGTGTTAATGTTTTTGTCTTTTCTATGCCACACATATATTTGTTAATGAGAGCACTAAATGTAATGCATAAGATTAATAATGTATAACAAAGATTTTTTATTTTTTTTATACCTCTAGATATGTTTCATTTTGATTTAATACTAAGATTTGATTAGGAATTCAGATATCTTGTGAGCATTTATTCATTAACAAAGACAGGGGATGCATCTAAATGCTCAATCATTTAAAAAATTGAAATATTTGTATATAGGTCGTTCAAAGGGCAGTCCCACGATATAAGTATTTATGTATTGAATATTTACTCTTTTGATTGAGTGATACTAAGTAAATTATTTTTAACATTAAGAATATAAACTATGTAAGTTATCAGTTATGAAAATAATTTTCCAAGAAAAATTTGTTACAGACCCAGTTAGAGATGTCATCAACAGACCTGGTGGCAGAGCTACGTGCAGAGGTGACACGGTGGTGGGAGGGGCTACACAAACAACAGCTGGCCCGACACCAGGCAGAGGGTGCCCACAGCAGCACCATGCTCTCGCCGATACTTGGTGCCATGCTGGGTGATGGCCCTATTCGTATGATCACCCTTGGACAAGATCTTACAGTAGACATGGACGAGAAATCACTTGGAGATATGCAGTTCAAAGACATGCAGGTACTTATTGTTTGGTATGAAATGTATGACTGAAGAACTAATTTTGATACACTTTTTTTTCTGGGGACTTGTTGGGGCTGATAATGGGCCCCATGCCCAATTGAAACTATTTCATATTTGTACCACATTCCCCAAATTTGCAGATTAGTCCCACTGGTATATTTCCTTCCAAGGATGAGACAAAAAGGCCCGATTCCCAAATTAACCAAACAAAACTGATATATTCTACTTACACAATAAAATGTTTAATCTTAAATGCTTAAAATGTTAAGCTTCACTGTCCTCCGATTTCTATGAAATGGCGAGAACTTCTGTGATTTGGTAGATGATAGACTTATATGGTAATATAATGTTTCGCAGTAAATATGATACGTGGAAGCTCATCAAACATTTTATGTACACAATTCATTAATTCAGAGTTAATAGGGCTTTAAAATTATCAGTTTGTTTTGTTTTAGCGACACTCTGTATGACACAAGTTTTCTACATTACAGCTGGTGTTTGTATCAGTGGGTGCCAGTAGACCTCAGCGTAAGATGGACGGCAGTATCCCCTCCTCCTGTCTGCCAGCACCCTCCCACAGCAAGCTTCCAGTGATGCTGATGATACAGGAGCCCCACTTTAGCAAGCTCTTTACACTACTCGAGAGACTTGGCAAGTTGGACTTCACATCAACAGAGATGGTAAGTACCTTTCATATTCATAAAGAACACAAAATGAAACAAATTTTATAAGTGAAGATAGAGCAAATAAAGACACAGCTTTAGGAACATCTCAATAAGGGTTCACAAGTCATGTTTTTACATGAATTTCAAAAATTTGAATACATACATATTGTTAAAATGCCTTAGTTTCCTAAGGTCAGACTTTAAAACATCGGAAAGTTGCAACTTGTATATAGATCATTTTTTTAGTTATTTTGTATTTTTGGGGGGAGTTTTATGTAATTGAATTCAATTTTGCAAATAGTGACAATCTTTCTCCACGTATCCCGGTTGAAACGGTAAGTGTGGCGCAGAAATTTTCCAAGATAAACGAACACACTTGGACCGTTCTATAAGCAGAGCTAAAAATCCACAGTTTCGGAGAATAAAAAACAATGTATCAAGAATATTATGCCCTTCTCTCATGCGTCCACTAAATTACATAACGTATCTTAAAAATTACAATTGACTTGACATTGTTTAAGAAAGAAATAATGCAAATTGGCAATAGTCAGCATTTTAGTTTCGTCTGGACCCCTCAATCTACACGTACCAAATTTTCCTGAGGTCAGCCTCGGTCCAAATCTGTACCTGTCGTTTTCTTAACAGGTTCAACCGGTTCAACCGTTTCAACCGGATACGCGAATGTAGCCTATGTGTTTTATGCAAGACTTGCGTGGTTGAGTTGTTATGGTATGTTACAGGAGAGTCAGGAGAGATGGGGCCTACAGACCAAGGCCCGTGTCTTGTCTAGGAAGGTGTGGGAACTCCTCATGCTACTTCCAACCAACCAGAGTATGCTGGAGGGCTTCAATAGTATTGTCTCTGAGGAGGTGAGTCTACAATAACAATCACAGGCTGATTATATCTTCAGAATATTGTTGGAGGGTTTCTGGTCTCCAAAGAGGTCTGACTTATATTCATCAGAAAATTAAGACCTTGGTTTATCAAAATTAAATGCAGCTAATCAAATGTGGTGTTGAATACTTCACAGTATTACAACTTAGGCTAGCATTTGTCATATTAGATATGCTTGTGAATAAAAAAAATGATCTAAAAAATAATATTTAGAGTTTAATAACTTTGCATTGAACTCCTGAAATTTTGTTTTTGTATTAAAAATGCTTCTGATAAGTATTTTGACTGGCTTGCAGTATAATTTATGATATGTTGTGTTTTCAACAGAGTACTGAGAAGGCAGACCACTGGGACACACTGCTAGCCCCCAACGCTCCACACAAACTCATGTACTCTCTCCAGATCGTGGAAGCCCTCTCCCGTACACCCCGACATCGCAGAAAGTTCTCTGTAAGTCCAACATTATAAAATGTTATCTTGATATGTAAAATAAACCATTCCAGCAAGGATAAACTTCAAAATGATTTGTTTCTTATTCGTAGATTTTTGACAGTTTCATAAATAATGTTTAATTTCTTCATATGAACTTGTGAAAGTTGGGTTATTGCATTAGAAAAATTGACATAGAAATTACCAGAAAACTTTTTCAGCAATTGTGAGTAGAAACTTTAAAATTAACATCTGATTTTGTTTGGTTTGACTAGATGAGAACAGGTGCTGGAGACTCGAGAGCCATGAGTGTAGATTCTGAGATGGACACCGACAGCAGTGAGGAGATCTGGAGCCAGAAGGTAAACTTTACATAATAAGTATTAAAAACATTAATCATTCTGCTTCATACTGTTTCTTTGCCCAACTCATTTTCACTACACATATTTGATATTTAACATTTGTACTATCACTCACTTTAAGTTGCAGTTAACGATGACATTATGAATTGGAGGTATAGGGAAACAAAATTAAATTTTCCTTTGCTTTTTATTATCAAATTGTTTTCCTAAATGTATTGAAACTTAGATAATTTTGCGACCCATGAATTAAAAGTTCTCTGCTCCATATGATATTTATGAAACTGAAAATTGAATGTTTTGTTTTCTCTAAAACTAGATTTATAATTCATAAAATAGGTTCAATCACAACAGGCGAAGGAGCAATAAGTTAACTACAAGAATAACTTATTGCTCCTTCGCCTGTTGTGATTGAACCTATTTTATGATGTTGTCACTTTTACTCAGTCGCCTGCATACTTTCGGGTATCCAGACGAGGAGCAAAGGACTAAATTATTCCACCATTAAGAAAACCACGGCATTGGCTCTACCCTTGTCTTGATTTATAATTGATTTAATGCAGATACACCTGACAATAATTGCTCCACTTTTAATTTCCTTTATAGTTTATAACAAAGGGAGGTTTGAAGCATTTACTGAGCATTTTTAAGTCTGGAGTTCTACAAGCTAAAGAGGATGAAGCATGGAGTCAGGTATGTAACAAACAACTTTCCTTTGGCATGTAGCACAAGACAGGATTTATTTTGGCTTAGCCTTGTCTTCCTCTGGTGATGGCATTGAATTTAAAATGACAAAAGTTCCATAAGTGAGTTAAAAGGTCTTCTTCTGTAGTGTTATGTACCCTATATATTAGTGTTCTGTAGTATGTTTTAATAGCCTCAAAAAGTAAAAGGCCAAACTGCACATTTTTGTACCTGGTAGAAATTCATATGTAGTTGTGTGTTGTATAATATTATTATATGAAATGACTTGTTGTGTTGCAGTGGAACCAGGAGTGTCTAGCCTACCTGCTCAGACTGATCAGCCAGTTCTCTGTGGAATTGTCAGATGCAGAAGCTGGTCACGATGATGTGTTTGAGTCGTATGAAAGTCCCAGGAAAAAGATGAAGCGCCACAAAGGCAGTAGTGAGAAGATCATTATACCTAGGCTTAACCAGGTAAAATCAGGAAATAGAACTGTTCAAACAAGTTGCTTTGTGTTTCTTCAGTTTCTTTTGTTATAGTTTTTCAAATTTAATAGTTAATTTGCTACTAAATTGTAAATAATCACGGACATTGTTATGAAAAAAATGTAAAATAGAGCTTATTGATAAACATTGTTTTGACTCACCAGATTTGAATTATAAGCTTGTTTCCCAAATCTTTGAATATTTTGATTTGCTGAATGGAGTTTCATTATGAGATATACAATAAAATAATGTATATTTCATGTGAATGTTTTACTTTTTGTTACAGTCAACATTGTCCATGCTGAACATTGAGTCTATCCTGAAGATCCTCATGCAGATTCTATATGATGCAGCCTTCCCCAGCGACACCAACCCCGTCAACACAGGGACATGGGGCAGGGCAGAAGGTGTGTAGTATTGAAGTACTCTATCATTCTCAGAATCACTTGATATTGGCATTTGTTTGCATCAAAATATTTACATGATGTAAGATTTTTGCTTAAGTGTGTACAAATTACTACAGCACAAATGGTTCCGGTTTGTTTACCTGTATGACACATTTACAATGATTTCTTATATGTGATGTTTCGCCCTGTATATATTTCAGTGGTACACTACTCCTGGTTGTTCCTTGTGTCCTGGGCCTACTCCAGTGAAGAAGTCAAACATGCCCTGTGTTCAGCTCAGAACTTTGTTTCATGGCTTCGCAGGCTTACACTAGATGCACCAGAGGTAAACATAAATTATAAAACTCCTCCAGAATACAGTTCATATTGTAAACGTCTTGTTAGATAAATTTAGTTTCTGTTGATATTGATTTGGCATTGGATTAGATGTACTGTGAGATTTATGTGATGACTTGTTTTTTTGCAGCCGTTTGTGAGACGTGAGGCATGCATGGGTCTGTACCGCCTGTGTCTGGGTCGTACTGCAGACAGTAAGACTGGCTACACTCTCCTCATGCCCATGTTAACTAGTCTCCTCAGCTTCCTCAATGAGGCCCTTACCATCAAACCTCAGCGCAACTTTGATGTAAGTATGACAAGCAATAGCGGTTATCATTGGTATAAACTGCCTTATGTATTAACACTTCCTTTTTATGCCAAATACAAATTACACACATAATACAAATATAAAGTTAATTATACTCTCTTGTACAGTTTCAATTACAAAAAGTATGTAAATTTTACTTACCCCACAGTTGGATGGGCTGAAGGAGAAGGAACCCCAGGGACCGGGCTGTCGGGATTACTTCTGGCTGGTGTGTCGATTTGTTGACAGCATCTCTAAGGAGGATGCAAAGTCTGACAAGGTACTAGCACAATTAAATATTTTTCCACATTAACACAAAAACCCGAAATCAGATCTATGTAAAATACCATGGATTTCTAACATGCAGTAAACCTGCTTTATACTGCTACCATTTGTCCATGAAAAAAGGATTGACAATGTGTAGAGTGAAACTGAAAGTCGAGAAAAATGGGACCTTGAAATACGTTGGAGATTAAGTTGGAAAATGAATTGAGGGATATTATATATGAGGTTTGACTGTACACTGTACACTTAATTATACAGACACCTAACAGATTTGCTAGATATGTTTTGCAAATAGATATTGTTAGATTAAACGAATACATGTAAATGGTACATGTTCTTAATTCCATACTTATTGTATTACTGTTCAGGATGAGATTGTAAACATCAACAACCTTGCGAAGGACGTGTCAAACCACATCATTGAGCGACAATACCTAGAGACCAGACAGGGGTTTGAGGAGGACGATGGAGTCATAGGACTGCTCAACTTAATGACTGCCATCATCAAACACAACCCCACATACAAACCTTCACCAGAGGGACAGGTAACCAGTCTTAATCATGAAACCTATTTTTCTCTCAGTCCCCGGTCAATATTGAATTTCTTCCCCTCATTTTATGCTGATGTTGAATTGTTTGTTACTACAGAGTTTCCTGGAGGAGGTGTTCTGGTTGCTGTTTGCACTTCCTTCTCCCAGTAAGAGATATCTTCCCAAGTGTAAGAGCCAGACAAGTCGCTCCTCAGCCTACGATCTCCTGGTGGAGTTTGTCAAAGGCAGTGTTGACAACTTTGGAATACTTCACAAACTTATGATGAAGCAACACACTAAAGGTACATAAGCCATTTGTTATTGTTAAAATTACTAAAGGAACAATCATTGGATCTCATCGTCTGAAATATTCAATAGAGTTTAAGAAGAAGAAATGAATGGATGCGTTGTTAAAGATTTGGAACATTCTGTTTCTTTACTTGTGAGTTTCTTGTCAAGGGGTGTTTTGTTTTGAAAATATAGTCCTCAAAAACTTGGACCAACCTATTACAAGTTGAACTAATAAACTTTGGTTGGTTTCATTAATCAACTTTATGGGTAATATATAAGGGTATCATAGCATTAATAAAGACCCTACAAAAAGCTTTTTACTTGTGAATAATATTTCAAGAATTCACCTGACTTGATATGAAATATCACTGATATTTATACAAAGAAAGACTTCTCAGTTTCAATTTTACATGTAAATATCAATTTGTAAATGGTTATCCCTGTTTTCCCAGATGCCCATACACCCTACCCCTGGGACTACTGGCCACACGAAGATGGGCGGTCTAAGTGTGGATATGTAGGGCTGACCAACCTGGGGGCCACATGTTACATGGCCACCTGTATGCAGCACCTGTACATGTTACCACAGGCACGCCAGTCCGTATTACAGGCCAATGTAAGTTAACAGAAGTCTGTCATCTTCCTTGACAAAACTTGATTAGGTAAAAATATCAGATCATACACCTGTGATATGGAAGGTATCTTCAGTTTGTTTCCCAAAAGTCACAGCTAAACTGTGTGGCTTTTTTTGTCAGAACACTTCAGGTTTCTGATTGCTAGCTGTCCATAAAATGTAACATTTGCTGTGAGGATTGTTTTAAGTAAAAAGGAATTCCATAACATTGCTACCTTGATCCAGATTTTTAGGTCACCTGAGCTTTGCTCAAGTGACCTATTCCAATCGCTTTTCGTCCGTCGTCGCCCGTCGTCCGTCGTCCGTCGTCCGTCTTGCGTCGTGCGTAAACTTTTACATTTTCAACTTCTTCTCAAGAACCAGTGGATGGATTTTTTTCAAACTTGGTCAGAATCATTCTTGGTAGATGAGGCTTCAAAATTGTAAAATTGGGATTCCTACCCCAACCCCTGGGGCCAGGGCGTGGCCCCAAAGGGAAAATTATCCAATATTTCAAAAATCTTCTTCTCCAGACTCAGAGGTACTACACTCATTTTCTCTACGTGGAAAGAAAGATCATCAGGGACTATACTTAAATTGTAAATTTCAGGAC